GCCAGGTAGTCTTCATATTAACCCCAATAACCTGCAAGGGTCCCTATCAAGGGTCCCTCGTACAGCCCTTAGACTAAGTTCCGCATCCTCCTCCAAGCAGATCCCCAAACCCAAAACCCTGCACCCCCGCTCCCAACCGTTGAGGTCAAACTCAACCTGGCCAAGAACTCCATCGTAAACCTGAAGGGCTGGGAGTCGGAGGAGGCCGCAGGGTCCTCGAAATGCTGAGGCCCCAAAAGTCTGCCCCAGACCCTAAATCCTCAACCCCAAATCCATTGAATTCCATGACAACCCTGAAGTTACTCAAGCCATAAAAAAAGGGCTTTGAGATTGAAAGGTTCAGGGGGTTGAGGCTTTGATGCTTGTGCTTGGATTCGGGGATTCAGAGCCCTTCTGGGGTACAGGGACCGGGATGAGGGGCTTGGGACCTTTTGGGGTTTGGGATTTAGCATTCATTTAGGATTGAGGGGGTTTGGGTCCAGTTTTTGATTTGGGCTTCGAGGTTCCGGATTCATGTGCTGTAGGCTTTAGGGGTTTGGGTCTACCCATAGGCCCCATAGTAGTTCCTTTTGGGGTTCATATTTTGTTAATCCTATAAGGTAATCCCAATCGAAAACTACTATGGGGCCTATGGGTAGCTTCGAGGTTCCGGGTCCAAGGTTTGGGGCTTTAGGGTTTAGGGTTTAGGGTTTAGGGTTTAGGGTTTAGGGGTTTAGGGTTTAGGGGTTTAGGGTGTAGGGTTTAGGGTTTAGGCTGGGCATGCGATTCCCCTCAGTCGGGAGCTGCGGGTTGCGGTGTCAGGCGCTCTGTAGATACTTCTCAAGGGGAGCCAAAGCTAGCAGTATGATCTTCAAGCAAGATCGGGCTCTTAAACCCTAAACCCTAAACCCTGGTTTGTTTTTTCTTTGATTGCTTGGTAGTCTTAAAGACGGGGAGCTTGCAGCTGCATCAGCAGCTTGCAGCTTGCTTGGGGTATGGCCTCCTCACAGGAAGCAGATGCTAAAATGTTGTCAGGACCTGGAGCAGTAGGGTTTAGGGTTTAGGGTTTAGGGTTAGGATGCCCGTCACAAGGAACCCTCGACATTGTTGGAGGCATTGAGGCCACATTCCCCGGAGCTCTGTCGGTGGTTCTTTGCGATACTTGTGCACGCCCCTTGTGGTCTGATCTTCAGATGGTATATACTCTGAAGCTGAAGGGCGTCTGATGTCCGGCAACTTCGAGGCGAAATACCAAAACGGCCCTTAACAGTTATGCATGGCGGGAAGAGCGACAGTAAACCGACGTGGTCATGGTGAAGTGGCCCTCATCACCGTGTTCCAGACCCTAACGGCCCTTGAGGTTTCAGGGCTCGCGATGGAGCCCTAAACCCTAAGCATTATAAGCCCTAAGCCGGTCGAGGGTTTAGGGCCTTAAGGTTCAAGGCTCTCGAAAGCCTAAAGCCTCCGCTTGGTGTGCAGCCCATCTTCACCAACCTCATTGACTTGGACCTCAGTGACAATCAGCTACTTGTCATCGGGGTTTAGGGTTTGGGGCTTAGGGTTTAGGGTGGTAGATGGGGCCTTCATGACAAGGACAAGACCTGTGCACTTTGCTGCCTGACCCCATAAGCTCGAAACCACAACCCCAAGTCTCGGCAGGAAACTATGGCTGTACTGTTCAATGCATCGTGTAGGTATTCCGGACGTTGGAGCTCGAATGTCTGGGGGGAGAGAGCTTACTGGGGTGATCTTGAACTGTATCCGTAAACCCTTCGGTCACCCCTGACAGACATTACATGCATCTCCGTAAAGGTGGGATTTTCGCTTCAGCAAATGAGCATCCGATGCCTTGATAATCAGGTTTAGGGTTTAGGGTTTAGGGTTTAGGGTAATCCTGGTCATGGTCATGCTGGAACACACACCCTGTGGAACGCAACACCTTTTCTGTATTTCACGGCCTTTGAGAATTCTACGTTGGGATTACACAGAAGTTGTTTTTGTCACGGAAGCTGCAAGAAATAGAAGGTGTTGCGCTACCTAGGCACAACCGAAACCTCTAAGCCGCAAAGCAACCCGAAACAACACTCACTTGCAGCAACGGGAGCTCGAAAATGCCTACAATGTTTACCTGACAAGTGCTCTAGCAATCCTAGGCCCCTGACTACCACGAAGGCGCACTTCAGAGCGCCGGTAGCCGTAAAGCGTAGGATGTTGTAAGGTGGTAGCGCTGCTTTTAGCTGTTGAGTCTTGGGATCCTACTGTTTTACTTGCAGATCTTAGGTTTAATTTTAGGGTTTAGGGTTTAGGGTTCGATCATGAAGTTTGGGGTCTTGCAACATGTAGGGCTCACCTCTGCACTGCAAGTTCGTGGTTCGAGGTCTCAGTGTTGAGCTTTCGTATTTATGCCACGGTGCCTTTAGGCTTCAGGCTCAACCGATGCCCAAGACACACGATAAACTCCGACCGACCGTAGGATCAAGCCAAAGGAGCTTTGAAATCGGTCGGGAGGTTTTTGCAGACATCTATTGTGAACTAGCTTCAACAGCTGGCAGTAGGTCACAATCATTCGATGTTTGTTGAACGTTCCCTTGTGCCCAAGGCTAACGCAATTGGCACCATTGCCACTCCAGGCCAAATGGTGTGGGAATTAGCATGGTTGTTGAGCGTTGAAGGCTCGAGGAACTGGAGTAAGGTGTGGGTTCGAAGGCTCAGGTTTGCCAATCATGTTTTTAATTTTGTGGGGTTTGCCAAGACGAAGGTCACGTCTTGAGTCTTGACATTGCTGCGTCTGATACAGACATGCATACATACCTACGTACGTCCGTTCACAGATACATACACCCACATCTCCGTGCATGCATGCATACACATACACACATATGCCATGAACTAGTGACAACATGGATAATAACCTAACTAAACCCTAAACCCCAAACCCCAAACCGCAAACCCCAAACCCCAAACCCTAAACCCTAAACCCTAAACCCTAAACCCGAAACCCTAAACCGGGTGATAATCCCCGCCTGCCTCTGCGAGTCTTTGGCGTCTCTCCGCTTGGCCCGGAACGAGATCGCGAGTATCGAGTTGGGAGGCGCAGCGCCTGGGAGTCTGGTGGCTTCATTAGGGTTAAAGGTTTAGGGTTTAGGGCTAAGG